GAAATAATGATTTGGAAGAAATCTTTAACATGACTAACTTTGTTGGAGTGATAGTACTCTATCCCCAATTTTGAGTAACATTTTCCTTATTGTACAGAGACCATTGGGTGTGGAGTTAAGGGAATGGTTCCTCTAATCTATCCAGCTTGTCAGCTTGTCCCTGAGCTTTTTACATGGCCACAGAAGCCTTTGTCTTAGACTCTTGAGGATCACCACCTTTGAGCCTGGAACCTCTCTCTTACTCCTTTTCTTCTCTACCCCCTTTTTCTCCACCCGCAACAAATTTTACTTACTTATTTGGAATCTGGTGGGAGTGTTAGTCATTTTCCACTCCTTCCAGTTCCACTCTGATCCTGAGTGTGAAGGAGCAGAGGTAGAGGCGGCCTTTCAATGGTCCTCCTGCCACAGGATGACTGTCTAAAAGACCATCAGGCATTTCTCAGTGCAGAGTTTAACTTCTCACTAGTGCATCCTCTGTCATTATTAAGCTAAAAGATTTGTTTCCTTCCCATCCTTGAGTTTCAGTTTAGAGGGCTTCCTTCTATTGCTTTGTTCTTCAACATAGTGGCAGGTGAAGGGGAGAATGCATCCTGCCACACCTATGTGAAGCACCTGCAGCCCATTTGGACCTGACTACATGAAAGTTACTGCTTCCACAGGCATACTTGATGGACAGGAACAGGCTAACGGACTAAGGAGTCACTTTTGGGCAAAATATGTAATATTTGTCAATATTATTCATAGGGCCAGCAGCTCAAACAAAGGAGTCTGCGGGCCCAGTGATGAGATATTAAAGAGAATTCACAGAAATGGTTTTAACCACAATGCAAGTATAGAGATTAAACTATAGTGAAGGCAACGGCACTTTAGGAATTTATTCCCCCAGTGTCTGAACCAGCTTGATACCCTCTGCAGCTTCTTTCCTACTCATGCCCTGGGCCTAGGACATTCCCCTAATCTTCCCACCCTCTGTCTCATCAGTGCCCACTGTTATTTTAGGGGAACTCCCAGCCTCTGCTTCTGGCTCTGTCTTACGCACTCTTCAGATCCAGTTCTTACTCTCCACCCATTTCCCTGGACTTGAATGTTTCAGACTTGCCCTCATTCCCACCTTATTTGAATAAGGGGCTCAGACACAAGTTCCCCCCCTTAGTGATCCCTTAATCCTTATGTCAACCCTACTCACCACCACCTCCCCACACCACACCAAATCCAAACTCCAGGAACCAGCCCAGGCTAGAGCTTTGAGTCTCATCCTCTCTAAGCTTTAACCCCCAAATTCCACTCATCTGGGAAGCCAGGCTTGGCAGACAGCACACTTAAAACTTCAAGGAAACAAATAGGAAATCTAGCAAAAAGCAGTGTAGACTCTGTTGGAATTAGAAAATGTCTTCTAAATCATTAAAACTGTTAATACCTTACCATATACTCTTGATTTAAAAGAATGCCTTTTGCTTATCCATCTATTTATCTATCTCTCCATTCCCCTAAGCTTTGGAATACTTAATCCAAGTACCTTTTCGTTGGAAATTTGTCATTTTCATATTAAACAGTGAATTCTTCAGCCAAAATTATATATTATGTAGATGCTATTCTCAAGTAAGGCACTAGGTGGAGCTTGTGAATTTAAAGAAAATTCAAGTTGATAATTACTAGTGACAACAAATCATTTAACTGAAAAAACTAAAAAATTTAAGCCAGATTTATTTTGATTAATTTCACAAAAATAAATATAAAACAATGTAACACTTTTTAGAAGTATACATAATCTAGGATAATGTAAATAAAAACGTAAAAATTAGAATAAATAATTTTTTCTCTTCATTCTCTCCGAAACCCATAGCCAAAGCAGGAAAATGAAACAGGCAGTAGTTTCAAAAGAAAACTAGTTGGGGAAGACAGAAATAGGGCTAGCATACATTTTTCCTCTGGTTGAGAAAATGAAGTGGTCTTTATCATAGCAAAAAGACCTTGTGTTTACATCAACTTCTAGACTGCCAGTTTCAATTTTGGGAGCAAATAATTCTAGAGAATTTGATTGCTTGTACACATGGGAAGAGGTCATACATTGCTAATAATACCAGGCAAAATATTCTAAAAGTTGTTTGTTGTTTATTGGAGATTTTTATGAGCATCAAGCTCAGATCTGCATACAGCATTGGCATGATTTCTGGAGGTTAAATCTGAGATAGACAGATTAGCATGCAAACAATCTGCTTCAGGGTTCAGAAGATGAACAGTTTTGATCCTGGTGGTATTGCATCGTACATGTTCACAGCTGAAGTTATAACTTTCTAATGGAGTTTATGTATTTGTGATGTTGCAAATGAGGTGAGTTTTGTCAGTGCTTCCGTTTTTAGTTGGCTGAAAAAATGTCATCTAGCATGAAACCTGACATCCCGATACACAGTTCAGGCTGCCTTTATGCCCAGGACAGGAGTTACTGGAAGAAAACAAAAAAATCCCTGGGAAACTTGCCACTGGTTCAGTAGTATTTTGAATTCTGATTTCCCCAGTCTGCCTGTTACCATGTACTTCTCAGAGTACCCTGCATTCTGTCCAAGGTATTTAGCTGCATTCAGTGTAGAGACAGAGTAGAGTGTTTACTCCATCTTGACTGCAACCAAAGCTGTGGATAATTTTTTAGATTCCTGACTTTCTTTGCTGAAACATGCTTGAAATAAAGTCTAACATAGCCTAGTTCATATAATTGCAAGATATAAATTTAGGAAGGAGATAAACTAGCTGAATTTAATATGACGAGAATTTAATTAATTTATTAAAAATCTGTTGCAATATTTTGTTTTGTGATGACCTTCAAGGGGAAAAAATGCTTAGGTTGTATATGAAGAGGATTTGGCCAGAAATATATACTCAACTGCTGTTTTATTTAGCAAAGTGGCTAGATAGAAGCAGTTCTGAGTTTTTATTAAAATCTGTATTGCAAACCAGTCTGATTTTTCTTTGACATCACCAGTATGTTAGAACACAGATGAATAAACTATTCTGTTTAATAATAATTTTTAAATGCTTAGGTTATAAATTTGATGTTATTGAGTAAAATTAAGCTTCATCTACTTTGGACCTTTGTATGAATTAGCAGCAGAACTGGTTTTAGCACTAGAGGTGACTAATACCATGCTTCAAATACTCCTTCTTTGAATCTATCAATAATAGGGGTTAGGAAATAACATGTAATTTAATGTGCAGGAGGAGAAAAAAAGTCAGTGTTTTCTTTGCCCATTTCCTTTGTAGGAATATGCAGAGCTCTTGAGTCTGCTTCTTCCTTTTTAATCTACTTTTGTGAAACGTGTGTAGCAAGGGATAGTGTGTATATCAGGATGCCATGACTCCTACATGATACCTACAGCAAAACAAAAAGCCAGCCTCTAGGACCTGACAAGATAGTCCAGTATCCTCTAAAGCTGTAATGATGGTGGCATAAAAGGTGATATGGAAGAACCATGCAGTGATGCTTCTCGACTGAAGAATTTACAGTACCTGGGAGGACATTTCACATGTGATTTTTATTTAGTTAATGTGATTCTGAGTAGAGTGTGGATTGTGCAAATTATTGATTCCAAATTTTGAAAAGGACATAAGAATATTATTTGGTACATTTTTTCCAGTCCCTTTTCATTTTTATATTCATGACTGTATTTGGGGATGTATAAGCCACGTATAAGATAGACTAGTCAGAAGTAATTCTATTTATAGATGAATAAAACTGAGATGCTGGCTGTTAAGGGATTTTTGAGTTGCTCACACCACATTATTCACTGCCCTGAAACTAGGACCCAGAGCTCTTAAGTTCAGGGCCAGTACTTTCCCCTTTCACCACATTGCGTAGTGATTAGTTTATGAAGAGAATTGTGGGAAGGCCTACTTTGAGTTTGAATTAATGTTATACCTTATAGAACTACATTTTAGTATGCCAAAGGGATTGGTATTGATTGCCAACCAAGTTTTTCCAGCACCCCTCCAAGTGAAAATCTCACATATATACACAACAGGATCCGCATAAAGATACTGAGTGCTGCTTTGTTTCTAATAGCAAAAAACTGCAATTGGCCAAAATGTTGGTCAGTATAAGACTGGATAAGTAAATTGGTACATATTTATATGATGTAATACTACCCAGTGATTAAAGTGACACTCACTTGCTCACTCATTCTCCATCTCTCTCTCCTCGTCCCCCCCATGTATGTGTGTGTGTGTGTGTGTGTGTGTGTGTGTGTGTATGTGTATCCCTCTCACCTTTTATGCCCACCATCATCACAGCTTTGGGGAGATACATACATATATATGGGATGGGGAATCATGATGTTGAATGGAAAAAGAGTAAGTTTGTATAATGAAACCAACAGTATGATACCATTTTTATAATTAAACATACAAAATCTGTATATTGTTCATGGGTGCCTATACGTGTATGACTAACATTTTAAAGTAGACTGGAAGGATAACTCCAAATAGTTGTCACTCAGGAAAGGGGATGGAACATGGATCACAAAGGGATTTCAAATGAGCAAATAAAATAAAATGTAAGCATTTGTCAATTTGTTGCTATTTGCTATATTACTCTCTGAAGTTTTCTGTAGTTTAAAAAATTTCTCAGGGGTGATGCTGGGGGAGGTGTTGGGGGATAGTATGAGGGGACCGAAGGGAGGTACCCTAGTGAAAACTACACGCCTGACACTGAACAGAAAAAAATATGAGGAAGTGCTGTGGTTGGCATTTAAGTAAAGCAGATAGAAGTATTAGATGGGCCCACCTGGTCACTGCAGTGGAAGGCCTGAGCTCTGGAGCAGCCCTTACCCCCGGGAGCCCGACAGTGATGGGGGAGAGCTGGAAACCCGGACTAGACTTGTTCTTCCTGTCCCCTTCTCTGAAGTCTCTGAACATGTCATGTGTTAGACTGTGAATGAGTCGTTCTTGTTGCCTACTTTCTGCTGCATTGTTTACTGCCTTAGTGCTAATGTTCTCTGGATAAACTCTAGGCACGAGAGGATGCATACCAGACGACCCTATCGTGTGGAAGATGCTGAAAAATACTGCCTTGAGGATGATTTGGTCAATCTAGAGGTTCTGGATGAGGTAATAAATATTTAGTAGATAATTTGCACATTTGTTTCACATGAACGGTTTGACTTTGCTGTTGTAGACCATATTCCCCTAAGGTCACTTGAAACTTTAATTGGTTGTATAGCCTTGGGGTGAAGCTTGAGGACCATTTCTTTGCTGTGACTATGATCTTGTGTTGTATTCATTTATAGTCCCCAGAATGTCTTAAATAGTGAAGAGAAAAGGATTTGGATTTTTCCAACAAAGGCCTTTATATTGTAGGCCTAAATGATGTATTATATCAGCTCAAATTGTTTTCTGTTTATAGAAAAGTGCAACTTAACCCTTAAATTAAGATACTTGTTTGTTCTTCATAAAGAGGAGCTTCATTTAGGGAAATAGTGGAGTTAATATAGCTTGAATTCTAAATTTGAAAACTATGATAATCCCCATTTAAAATATGCATGTTTAATAGAGCTGTTAATTGCACTGGACCTGCTTCTGCTGATTCTAACTCTGGGGACCCTTAACTACAATGCATGAATTGCTAAAGTATAATATAAAAGTGTTCAATTCTGTATTTCCACCACATAAATTTTAAGTGCAATGCTTTGAGAAATGAAGTTACAATTTGTCTTTATCAATAGGAATGACCTATTAAATCAAATTCTAAATAGAACATTTTGATTGAGTGAGACAGTTTTTTTGTCATACAAATAAAATCTTCGTTGGATATCTCAATGTCTTTTAGCAAGTCCTAAGTGGGCCTAATTCTTTTAGCATATTCACAATTTTTTCTTCTTTCAAGGCAAATGTCTGCATTTAGTATCTTTAGGGTCCTAATGATTAGGATCCTAATCAATAGGGTTTGATTTAAATTGACTGTTTTAATCTTTTAGAAAAAAATATTTTTGTACAAATAAATTTGTTGTTATTTTTAGACTCTCTCCCTTGACTAGAAATAATGTTTACTCTCAACACTGTTTATCCTCTTCTTAGGATACAATTATTCATCAGTTGCAGAAGCGTTATGTGGACTTACTGATTTATACATATGTTGGAGACATCTTAATTGCCTTAAACCCCTTCCAGAATCTAAGCATATACTCTCCACAGGTAAGGAATGTTTTAAGAGCATGTTGTCCTTCAAAGGAAATTTGAAACCTCAAGGCAAAATGAAAAGGGGGGAAAAGTGAGAATAAAATTATGTCATCCTAAGGGTGTACATACCCCAGACTGCAGGTAATAATGCAACACAGATGGAATTCTTACATTTTGGGAGGAACTTTTTAAAGTATGATGTAGCAATAATAGCTCACATTCACTCAGTGCTTACTGTATACCAGGCACTGGTTTTGATTGTTTGAGAACAGTACTTTGTTTATTTCTCACAACCCTGTGTGACAGGTACTATTATGAAGCCTATTTGGCAGGTGAGGAGACTCAGTGCAGTGAAGTTAACTCCCTTGCACAAGTTTCTGAAGCCAGTAAGTGAAGAGCTGGGATTTGAACTGAGGCCTGTAGACTCCTGAGTCTCTGCTCTGTAGCCTCCTTGATGCCTTCTAATTCCTCTAATAAGAGACAAAGCCTTGGTTTTGTGGGTAACAGGCACAACACCAGGAGAACTTTTTAAATTAATTTTTTTCAGTTTTCCAGACTTTATCATGGAGTCAAACGTGCCTCAAATCCCCCCCACATATTTGCATCGGCAGATGCTGCTTACCAGTGCATGGTCACTTTCAACAAAGACCAGGTAAGAACTTTCCATCCTTTCTTACCAAGTCCCACAAGAGGATGTGTTCTGTCCTCCTCTGCAGCCCCTAAATCTTCATAAAAACTTTCCATTCTGATTGCTGGTACTGACTCTAGGAAACAGTAGTTCAGTGGAGCAGGAAAAGTGATAAAGCCAGAGTAGCCAGAGAATGTGAAAACCCTTTTCAGGAAATGTGAAACATTCATATCAAGAACAGTCATTTTTCCTGGTAAAACATAATAAGGATTCTAGTTTGAATATGAGAACAGAGCTAACACAAACCTGATAACATGGCAGTGACTGTAATAAAAACAGGATATAAAATGATATAAATGAAATTCTTTCCTATTAAGGTCTCAGAAATTTCATGGTCCAGTCCTTTTTGCACACAGGTTGACAGTGGTCATACACCACACCATTTAACTACTGAGAAATTATGATGGATTGGTGAAGACTGAACATATCTTAAACTCAGTGCTAGTTAAACACAAAACTTAGCATTCATTTTAACTTCTGGACCTCCGATTCACAGCGGTGGGATATCCAACCTTTGGCCCTTCATTTACTTTCATTATGTATATTTTCCCTGTGTCTTTATTCTGTTTGAAATAGAAACAATCTAATTTGGTGAGATAATTTTATGAGAGAATCTGTATATGTATATTTCCTGAGACCTGTCAAGTCCCAGCTTTGGATTTGTTGAGGAATAGATGAAATTACAATAGTGCAAGTTACAAAATGGAGTATATGGATTCACTATGGGTTTGGAACTTGGCTTCTGCAAATTCTTACCTTTCCAAGAGACTTGTGAAATGTCCATAGAATTCATAGAGGGGAAGTAAATGAAGGGAGATGTACGTGTTTCTCAAGTTAAGAAGTTACCCCACTGTGTTATCTTTTTTCTGACACTGCTTCTGACACCAAATGTTGTATCTTTTCCAACACCAGCCAATTCCCCAGCTCTCTGACACTAGGTGAATGTCTGATGATTCAATTCCATTCAATTCTGGCACTACCTATCCAGAGTTAGCACAGACCACACAGGTTCAGAGTTCAGTCCCACAAGACCAGCCCCACTTCAGATGCCAGCTATAAATTGGATACCCTGTTTACCCACACTTCTTCCTGGCTGGCTGTAAATTCAGGGATTCCCATAGTCCCCTCAGGTTTGATAATTCACTAGAATGACTCATGGAACTCAGGAAAACACCTTACTTATGTTTACTGATTTCTTTTTTTATAAAGAATACAACTCAGAAACAGCCAAATGGAAGAGATACATAGGACAAGATGTAGTGGGGGAAATGGTACAAAGCTTCCATGCCTTAAACTCTCTGAATCTTGTTGTTCAAGACTTTTTATGACTTAAGTCAACCTAGCCCCTCACTTCTCCCCAGAAGTTAAGAAGGTGGGTCTGGAAGTTCCAACTCTCTAATCATGTGTTTGGTCTTTTTGGTGACTGACCCCCATCTGGAAGCTATCTTCGGCTCCACCTTGAACCACTTGGTTAGCAGGTTAGTTTGGTTGAAAGGGACTTGTTTGTGAATAACAAAGGATGTTCCATCACTCTTATCACTCAGGAAATTCCAAGGGTTTTAGGAGCTCAGTGCCAGGAACCAAAGACCAGATATATGTTTTTTATTATACTACTTCCACTAATCTCCTTTATATGTAAAGAACTCCTAGAAATAAATGATAAAAAGACAGGTAATATTTTTTAAAAGGTCAGGTATATGGACTGATCACCAAAAAAAGGAAATACAAATTTTCTTTAAAAAACTTTAATATATGACAAGATGCCCAGTCTCACTCATAATAAAAGCAATACAAATTAAAACTGAGATACAATGTTTTTGCCTATCAGATTGGCAAAAATCCAACATACCCAGTTGGTGAGGCTGTAAGAGAACAGGCACTTTCTTATATTGATACAGTCCTTAGGAAAGCAATTTGGTACTATCTGTCAGATTTATGGATGTGTTTACCTTTTGGTCCAACAACCCCATTTCTAGCAATTTATTCTACAAATGGACCTACATATAAATATAATGGCTTACTTATAGGGTTATTCATTGCAGTATTCTTTGTAGTGATGTTAAGAAATACTCAAGTGTCCATCAGTGTGGGGCTGGTTAAATAGACTCTGCTACATCTGTGCAAGGGAACAAGGGACTGAGAGATTGAAGATGTTCTCAATGGACTAAAATGGAAAGATTCCTAAGAGATGATGTTCAGTGAAAAGTTAAGGCATACAGTGGTGAATGTTATATAAAAACCATTGCTGAGCACACAGGGCGTTTACTGTGCTGTGAATTCTTCACTGACACCCCATTTTCTGTGTCAGTGCATTGTCATCAGCGGAGAAAGTGGTTCTGGGAAGACGGAAAGTGCCCACCTGATTGTTCAGCATTTGACTTTCTTGGGAAAGGTATTGACCACCTGCTTTCTGTACTGTGGCTAGAAGTCTCTGCAGAGTAACTGCATGTTTTCTAAAGGATAGAAGTACTGGTCTTTATTAGGGGTTACATAAAAACATTCCATCTTTATTATGTTTGCCTCCTGATTGATAGCTAGGCCTCTTTAAGATGTCAGCATGTCCTTCTCCTTTCACGTGGTGAGGAGAACAATGCCAGCACAAATTTAGTAGATTATTGGCAATTAATTTTTCATGTTCTCAATGTAATACAAACATTTAGCCATTAAGTAGTAAAAGTGGTTAAACATTAGGAACAGGATCAGGGAGAGCCACTAAGGTGATTAAAGGATTGGAAAAGAGAAATCTTTGAGTGAAAGTTGAGGGAAATGGAAATTTTCAGCTTGGTGGAATGGACATGGAAGGAATGGCTTTAAAAATAGCCCAGCAGTTACTTACATGCAGAATTAGGGTATTATGAGACTAGGAATAAATTTAAGGAGTATTTTTTTTACAAATGAGGTTTATTGAATATTATAATGCTAACTGAGAAATGTTACGGGATCTCTTTATTTAAAATTCTTTCTAAATTCTTTGGGTATCTTATCTGTCAAGGGTTTTAAGAGAAGTGTGGCTGGTCATACAAACTGACCTCATCTAGCCTCATCTGATGCTTACACACCTGGGGAGTTGCTCGTCTGAGAAAACAGTGCTGGTGGTTGATGCTAATTTCCCCAAATGGAGTTTCTCCCAAAAGGATAAACATGAATTTTGTGGGCTGGGAGGGGTGCATGGCAGCTTTACTAGAGAAATGTTTCTGGAGGTTCCTCCTGACTGTTCTCTGTCTGGTACAGGCGAATAATGAGACCTTGAGAGAGAAAATTCTGCAAGTCAACTCTCTGGTGGAAGCCTTTGGAAATGCATGCACTGCCATCAATGACAATTCCAGCCGTTTTGGAAAATATCTGGAAATGATGTTTACACCAACTGGAGCTGTGATGGGGGCGAGAATCTCTGAATATCTCCTTGAAAAATCCAGAGTTATAAAACAGGCAGCGTAGGTGCACTATTTTATATCACTCTGGTTTTCCACTGCAGTGTAGACCAGGAGGCTTCAGGAATTTTAATGGCTCCATTCATCCTTGTTCTTAGCATCCCTGTCCCCCATCCCTCCCCTAGCCTCCCCAAGAGCAAGGGATTGTTTAAGCAAAGGATAAGTGATGATTTCTAACCTAAAAGATGTTTACAAGTGGAGTACAGAGCGCTGGGCTGGGTGGGATTACTTTGGGATAAGTATGCCCGTTTCTCCTGAATTTGTTTTACCAAGTAGGGTTTAACAATATTGTACATACTTTTAAAAATCATTAGGTCCCTTAAAATTGAGCTTGCCTATAAAAAACCCCAGAATATTCCACATGTTATTTTTTTCTCTAGATTGAGAGAGGAAAAATATATTTTGTTTTAAGAAGAGCAACATAGCAATAGTGATCAGTAGCATGGCCTGCTCTTGGTTCAGGTGCTGGCTCTGACATTTACTGTGTGACCTTGGGTATGTCACTTAACCTGTCTGTGCCTCATCTGTGATGTGAAGATGCTACTAGAGCTTATCTCAAATTGCTGTAAGGATTAGTGAGTTTGTTTATATAAACTTACTTTAAAAAGTACCCGGGTTGGTGTGTGTTATCAGAGAGTTAGCCACCTTTCCTATTATTATTATTATCTGTTGCAGGACACCAGACTTCCTCAGGAGCATGGCTCCATTCATGTAGTAATTGGTAATTATCTATTGAATTCCTGCTGTAGGCCAGTGCTGTGCTCCCTGCTGGGGTTGCAAGAGTAAACAAAATATGAAGTCCCCCTATTCATGAAGCTTGGAGTGGGCTTGGGATGGGAGGAGGGGGTTAGATCATAAGCATTAAACAAAAAAATAAACTTAAATGCAGAACAATTGTAATAAGTACCAGGAAGCAATGTAGGGTACTATAAAGGTAAAACAGGGGAAAGGGCATCTAACCTGGTCCAGGAAGAGAGGTCTCCCTGTGTAAGAGGGTCACTAGGAGTCAGCCAGTGAAGTGGGGACAGGAGGGGTGAGGCTAAGGCCCCATCACGCTGGGCTTTGGAACCAGGCTGAGGAACCTTATTCTAAAGGCAGTCGGAAGCCATTTAACGTTTTCAAGAAGGGAAGTCACAAAACCCAGTGTGCATTTTGAAATGATGGCTCTGGCTTCAAGGAGGCAAATGTACAGGAGGAGATACAAGAAGTACTATTGTACTGAGACCACTAGGAGGCTGTCAAATCCATGTGAGAGAGAGTGTGGCCTGGAATGAGGTGGTAGTGGTGGAGGTGGGGATGCGGAGGAGCTGATGAATCTGAGAGATCTTGTGCAACTAGGACCCATAGGACTTGTTGTAGATTAAGAACTCCAGCATCCTCTTTCATCATACCCTTGCAGAAAATTAAACAAATGCACAAAAGAATAGAATCAGTCATTTTAGCTTCCCTGTGACATCTTGATTAGTGTTTATGAGGTCCCCTACTTCTTTCTCCCCCAGTAGGGTGATCCTCAAGTTTAGGGAGCTACCTCTGACAGAATGGAAGCTATAGTTTTCTATGTTCAAATGTCAAGTGGTCGTTTACAGGATAATGTGAGGAGGGTTCCAGTCATAGCTGTATCATTTATTGTGTATGTCACTTTTTAATGTAACTATCCTTATGCCTTACTTTCCTCATATACAAAAAGGGCATAATAAAGCCAACCTCACAGGGCTGTTATGAGAATTAAATGTGGTAATGTGTGATTTATACCAAGTATAGAATCTGAAACATAACTGATACATAATAGGCCATAATTTATTATTATTATTAAATTTGGTCAGTGTGATAGCACTGATGAGGTAAAAGAGACTGAAGACACTGAATAAGGAGAAGATAGGTCCTGTTTCTCTGACCTTTCTGGTTCTGTCCTCCTCTGGGCACATGGTAGGATTCACCTTCTTGGTACCCTGTGGCTGAATATGGTCATGTGACCAGGTCTGGCAAATGAGAGTTTAATGGAAAGACCCTCCACAAAATGGTGGCTATTTCATCTGCCCGGGCCCATGGATGACTGTGATGGGCACAACCCCCCCCACCCCTGTTGGCCCTCAATAGATATGTACTCTGAGCAAGAAGTAAGCCTTTGTTGAGTTAAGCCACTAAGATCTTGGGATATTTGTTACTTCAATCAAATGTAGCCAATCCTGATATATTCAGGCATGAAAACCTATTGAATTTATGCTGGGATTGGTTGTTGCAGGAAAAGCTCAGAAGAACTGAGAACTAGAGGTATCTGCAAAAAACTATAGGAGGGTAAGAGCAAGATGGGTCAGCCATTGCCTGCACATTTGCCAGAGGTTAAAGAACAAGTGACAGTCATGCTGGGCACACCAGTTCAGAGAGCCCTGTAAAGGCTTTCTGCCTCAGTGAGTGGTGCTACCACCACCGGATGCCCAAATTAGAAACCCAGGAGGCAGCCTCCAGGTAGCTTTCCCTCCCCACCCTCATTCATTCTATCAGAACATTCTTTCAGTTGTTTTTCCAAAATATGCCTTTCAGCTTCCTCTTGTTCTCCATCATCACTGCCATTACCCTGTTTAAGCCACTCGCTCTCTCACCTGGCGCTCCTAATTGGTCTCCTTGTATCCATCTTAACTTCTTACAATTTAGTCACACATTTACAATTTAAAACGCTCAAAAAATTCTAATTGTATAATCGACAGAATCCTTGTTATGGCCTGAAGAGGCCGTGTGTGGGCTGGCCCTGCCCACCTGCCTGCCCACGTCTCACTAGCATTCTTTGGGTCCTACATGGATATCGTGCTCAGAGTCTTTGTGCATATGCTGCTGCTTCTCTTTGGAATGCTTGATCCCTTCTCTCTGGAGCTCCTTCCAGTCCCTTCTCTTGCTTCAAAGTTTGATTTTAGTGTTACTTCCTTTGAGAGTCCTTCCCTTGACTTGACATAAGTAGCCCTCATCCCCCAACGTTATTCATCTTTGCCCCTTGTTTCTTTCAAACTCTCATCACATGTTTCCTTGTTGATTCATCTAACTCCATCACTAGAAGGAAGTTCCAGAGGGCGTGAATCCTCTGAGTCCTGTATCCCTAACACCTGGTGCAGTGTCTGCCATGCTTGGCACTCAGTAAACTTATTAATTGAGAGAACAGATGGGTGAGAAATGGCCAGTAGAGGCATCTAGAATGCAGGGCGGAGTTAAGAATGCACCAGAGGAGCTTGGACAGGGTGAATAAGCAGAGGAAGACTAAGATTTCCAGGAGACTCTGAAGAAAATAATGGGGCCCATGTCACAGGTAGGGACAAGGAGCAGAAGGAAGACAGGATTTCTTTCCACAGAGCTAAGTGAGAATTTGCCATAATCCTAGGGCTTCAACAGAAGAGACTGTCCTCTTCCAAAAGAAAGAAAGGGAGTAGAGCAGGGCTTCTCAAACTATCTTTGCTGAAAGACTAGGTTTTTTTTTAATTAGTTCACAATCCGTTGTGAACTAATCCATTGTGAACTAATCCACTGTGAGCTAATGCCTTCATAAAATATAACAAACAAAATATAACAAACATGTTATCAGAAAAATGATCATACTCTTAGGCATCATGGCAATATCACTTACTATAAAATGTCTAGACATTTGCTTTCCAGTTCCTTATCTCATCATAAGCTGACCACAGTCCACAGACCAGACTTTGAGCAGCCTTGATCTGAAACAACCCTGACCAGCGTGCACAGCGGGAGACCAGGGGGACTGATGCATGTCATTTTGAATTGTATTTGAAAAAAATACCAAGTTTGAGAGAGTGGAGACCTTAGTTCTGGGACCAGTTCCCCTCCCTAACTTGCTTCCTGTCTTGGGCTTCAGTAAAATAGGGAGTTCAGCTGATCTCTCTAAACTGGGTATCGCTGTCTCTGAAGCAACATGGGCTACAAACAGAAGAGGTGTGGCACAGGTTCATAGTCATTTGGTCTGGAATAGAAAGGTCCCTAAACATGTGTAACTTGAGCTGTTACCTATACATGTTCCATTCTCTAAGACTTCCTTCTGCATATAGTAAACATGAGTGTTTAATAGTGTGACACTGTGGCAACTACTACACTAATCCTATCACTGTTACTATTCTGTAATTGGGATGGAACGTACCTAATTGCCTGTAAATGCAAATTTGATACAGAATATTTTGCACAGAAAGGAAATGGTATGAATTATTGGGAGTAGGGAAGCCCAGAATATGTTATTAGTAATGTTCCTTCCCCCTTTCTTCCAGAGGAGAGAAAAATTTTCACATATTTTACTATATCTACACTGGTCTTTATCACCAAAAGAAACTTTCTGAATTTAGACTTCCTGAGGAAAAGCCTCCTAGGTAAGTGTCAGGGGTTTTAGTTGTTAATTTTTAATGAATATACAACTAGAAATTGATAAAACTTTTAAGGAGAGCTATTCTTCTAACTGGACACTCAATCTCTTTAGCCGAAACACCCACAAGAAATGGCAGGAACTACATCTCCCTTTGAATTTTCTAGAAAGTTCGAAAACTCAGTTGCAGCCATTTTATTCAGCCATGTACACCATTATTTCATCACAGTATTAGACTGTAAGGGAAATGACCTTGCAAAAAAAAAATGCCCAATGATGTCCTGGTGTTTGGGATGCCATTTGCCAAGTCAGTGCTGATTCTGTTTGGTCATACTCCTTGTAGGTACATAGCTGATGAAACTGGAAGGGTGATGCATGACATAACTTCCAAGGAGTCTTACAGAAGACAATTTGAAGCAATTCAGCATTGCTTCAGGATTATAGGGTTCACTGACAAGGTAAGTGATTGTTAGAAAAGAAGGATACTCAAGTGTTAATATTCTTGGACAATGTGAGCGAAGATGTGAATGTTCTAACTTGGGGCAGGATGGTTGCTTTTCAAACACCATGCTGGTCAGGTGGGACCCAAGGACCAGAAACATTATCGTCACCTGAGAGCTTGTTAGAAATGTGAACTCTTGGGTCTAACCAAGAATGGCTGTATCAGAATCTGCATTTTAGTAAGATGTACGGGTGAACATTAAAACAGAAGTACTGTTGTAAGTGCCATGTGCCTATGACTTGCTATCACTGTCATCAGTTCACTCCAGCTGTGACAGCCGACACCAAAACAATACTGCTCTTTCCTGAGTTGGGGTTGTTCCAACCATTGAAGTGAATTGTGTAGTAGGGGTTCAGGAATATGTAGGTTTCACCCAACCCACAGAAATATATTTATACAAGTAGTTTTCCTTGTGCCTCTAGACAAATTCAACCCTTTCAACTTTCTTGCAGTCACTTCCTTCTCCATGGTGCACAGTTGCACATTATTAACTGCAGCTCTAAGTACAGTGCTGTTCTTATCACAGCAGGTACAGGATGTCTCTATTAAATATATGCCAGGGGTGACAGAAAATATTTATAACCCTAGGCTCAAATATTACTGTGTGATAACGTTCATGTCATAATTGCTGGGCTTCATGCCATCAATTTTGTAAAATATACAGATTCTTTTGCTTTTCCAACAAAGGAGGTGAATGATTAGGAGGTAGGTGAGAGTATTTAAATCTTCAGGGATTAGATTACAAGACAGTCAAGTTACCCTGGGACAGCCACTCTGGATAAAGGATTGCTTTTGTAATCCAATGAGTTTGGCCAGCCCTTTCCTCCCCAGCATGGTTGATTTTAGTCATAATAATACCTTTCTTCTTTCTAGCCAGCTGTTAATTTTCTCTGTCAGCCTCCCACAGACTTTAAACTGACAGACAGTGGAAAATCCCAAAGGTCAGGTAAAAATAGAAATATATTTCCCCTGGCTCCTCAGAAGAGAGCAATTAAACAGGTTCCAGCATTATTAAAGGACCTTCATGGTTATTAATATATAGTACTGGTTGTTATCAAAGATGCATCACCAGAAGAGTCAGTGTTTGGTGGAGAGAGTTGTAGGGCCGTTTAAAGTCACCTAGGTCATGTCAGAGTGTTTAGGGACATAGTTCCTTAAAAGGTTACAGGAACAATAGAGAACTCAGCTGTAGGGTTGATATTTTGCTTTCGGTGAGTACAATGATGGCTGTAGGATGCTGTGAAGAGATTGGTCCTAGCTCTAAAGGAAAGTATTTAATATCGGCACTGTTCTCATGCTAGAAATGTACTGCAAATAATGTTAAGATAACAAATTAAAACAAAAGATTAAATATGCTAAGTATGTATTTGTGAAGTAAGCAATCCCTAACATCTGTGGGAAGAAAGTGTAGTAGAAATGACTGCATGAATAGATATGAAAAGAAGGATATGTAGAATGTGGTAAACATTTTAAATTTGTGCCTGGTCTGGACTGTTAAATGAATAATTAGATTGTAATTATGTATATGTGTGTATATTCACCATGTCCTATGTTAATTCATACTGGAAATAGACATAATTTTTGTCATTTAGCAACCTTGGTAATGGAAGGAACAGGCTGGATTTTATCTTTCTGATCCTAAATTCTTTGGTTATATATTTGTCTCTGTCTCTACAGACAGCCTGTACTGCTGAATTGACTCAGTTTGCTTTATGTTTATAAACTCAAATTAGTTTGACTAATTGAGAAACATTCAGTTGAAAGTAGTCAGGCAGCAGATGCCAACAGAACTTTCTCTTAAGTTTTTCTGAGGGACATTTCTAGACAGAGCTTAAATGAACTGGTCAATTTAATAAAAATTAAGGTCACTGTCCTCTCTTTTAATGCTATTAATTCCCTGCAGGGAGCCCTTCAGTTTTCCTTAAGCCCTTAGAGCAAAATTATAAGTAACAGAAACCTTAGTGTGAACACAGGAGCTTGAATTTTAATTCTAGGACAAGGCTGAAAATATCTGAAAGAACACTTGACCCTAGGTTTATTGTAAAGAAATTTCTCTGGTGTAAGGAGTCTTCGAATAACATTGATTATTCCTTGTGGAGGGGTGGGGTGACGGGGTGGGGCTTAAACCTAAAACCCTATTGTGAAGATCATTGCTTTTCTACTCTTATTTTTTAATTAAACCATACTATTTTTGTTTAATATTGTGCTTGTCTTGCTGCTATATGAATTATCATAACATATTAAATAAATTGAGTTTTAGATATGTTTATATGGAATACTACATGAAGATTTTTTTGGCAGATTATCTGTGATGGTCAAGATGGGACTTCTACTGCAGATCCCTTGGTGAAGTGGTTAGAGAGACGTCTTTGAGATTAGGGCAGTTTTTTTCCCCTTTCTTCAAAACAGATTATGAGCTGGGAGAGTACTGCTGAGAATAGACTGAAGGTTATTTGTTAAAATGTAAATTGGGGGTTGAGGATTTCTAGTGTCTTAATGCCAGACTACAGGACTTAACCATTGACTTAATTTTTTTTTTGAAGTATGGTTGATTTACAATGTTGTGTTAGTTTCTGGTGTACAGAATAGTGGTTCAGTTTTATATATAATATATATGTATATAATTTTTCATATTCTTTCCATTATAGGCTATTATAAGATATTGAATATAGTTCCCTGTGCTATACAATAGGACTTTGTTATTTATCTATTTTGTATATAGTAGTTTGTATCTGCGAATGTTAAATTCCTAATTTATCCCTCCCCTCTCCCTTCCCTTTGGTAGCCATAACTTTGTTTTCTTTGTCTCTGTGATTCTTTTTGTTTTATAAATAAGTTCATTTGTGTCACTTTTTAGATTCCACATATAAGTGATATCATATGATTGTCTTTCTCTGATTTACTTCACTTAATATGATAATCTCTAGGATCATCCATATTGCTGCAAATGGCATTGTTCATTATTTTTTATGGCTGAGTAGTATTCCATTGTATTATAAACTACATTTTCTTTATCCATTATCTGTTGACAGACATCTGAGTTGCTTCCATGTCTTGGTTATTGTAAATAGTGCTGCTATGAACATTGAGGTGCAAGTATCTTTTGAATTAGAGCTTTCTCCATTTGTATGCTCAGGAGTGGGATTGCTGGATCATTTGCAAGTCTATTTTTAGTTTTTTAAGGACTCTTCATAGTGTTTTCCATAGTGGCTACACCAGACCACATTCCCATAAAGAGTATAGGAAGATTCCCTTTTCTCCATATCCTCTCAGCATTTATCATTTGTGGGCTTTTTAATGATGGTCATTCTGACTGGTATGAGGTGGTGCATCATTGTAGTTTTGATTTGTATTTCTCTGATAATTAACAATACTGAGCATCTTTTTGTATGCCTATTGGCCACCTGTATGTCTTCTTTGGAGAAAAATCTATTTAGGTCTTCTGCCCATTTTTGGATTGAGTTGTTGTTGTTGTTGTTGTTGTTGAGCTGTATGAGCTGTTTGTACATTTTGGAAATTAAGCCCTTGTCAGTCATGTCATCTGCCAATATTTTCTCCCATTCCATAGGTTATCTTCATTTTGTTTATGATTTTCTTTGCTGTGCAAAAGCTTGTAAGTTTGACTAGGTTCTGTTTGTTTATTTTTGCTTTTGTTTCTGTTATCTTGGGAGACTAACCTAGGAGAACATTACTACAATTTATGTCAAAAAATGTTTTGCCTATGTTCTCTTCTAGGAGATTTATGGTGTCCTGTCTTATGTTTAGTCATTAAGCCATTTGAGTTTATATTTGTGTATGGTGTGAGGGAGTGTTGTAACTTCATTGATTTATATGCAACTGTCCAGCTTTCCCAACACCACTTGCTGAAGAGACTGTCTTTTCTCCATTGTGTATTCTTGCCTCCTTTGTTGAAGATTAGCTGATGGTAGTTGTGTGAGTTTATTTCTGGACTCTCTGTTATGTTTCATTGATCCATATGTCTTTTTTTTAATGCCAATACCATGCTGTTTTGATTACTTTAGCTTTGTGGTATTGTCTGAAATCTGGCTCCAACTTTGATCTTTTTCCTCATTATTGCTTTGGTTATTCTGGATCTTTTGTGATTCCATATAAATTTTAGGATTATTTGTTTTAGTTCTGTGAAAAATGTCCTAGGTAATTTGATAGGGATCTCATTAAATCTGTAGATTGCTTTGGGTAATATGGCCATTTTAACAGTATTAATTCTTCCAACCCAAGAGCATGGGATATCCAGTTCTTTAAACCACCTTCAGTTTCCTTTATCAGTGTTTTATAGTTCTCAGCATGTATTTTACACTTTATTGATGTATGATTGACATGCAAAAAATTTTTTTAAACTGATCACTGACTTTTAAGATACAAATATTGTTAGGCTCTGAAAAGGGAACTGAATGAAGGCATTGGAATAGAGGCTATAAGGAAGAAGGCCCTTCAGCTGGGCCTAATGTAGTGCTTTGGGCACAAGTGGTAAAAAACTAAAGACTTATTGAAAAAGGAGCAAGGTAAAGAGAGACTGAGAGGGCAGGTAAACTCCTAGGGAGATACCAGGGACACAGCTGTGTGAGATGCCCGTGATCCTGGCTGGGGGCAGTTTCCTTACATCAGCTCCAGGCTAACAGAGGAAACCAAGGTTCTTCTTGACTTCCCCCTTAGTCTCAACTTTATGGAGAGAATTTCTACCTCAGTGAAAGGAATATGGTCTGAGAAAAAGAGAGAAGTCAAGACCATACATCCTGAATAGGGCTTTGGTGGAGAAATGCTCTTCCTTCCCCCACTTTTGCTGATTAGTGATGAAACTGAGTTCATACACATCAATGGTGAACTGGGGAGCCTATCTGGAGTGATTAGTCTTCTTGATTTTTTAAAAAATTAAAAAAATTTTTTCTTTAATTTTTTAAAAAAATTTTCCTGAGTGAGGTGATTCCATTTTATCATATAGAAAATTGGAAACTGGTAAGAGAACTGCATAACAAGATTCTGTTGGAAAGGCAGGGATGCCAGAAAAGGGTCCAAAGCTAGAGATGAGGCCAGAGAGAATAAACAAAGTGAAAAATCCCTCCCAGGCCGGCTGTGGGGAGGAGAGGAGAGACGCTGGATTAAGAAGTGCTGGGGAGCCAGGAGCCATCCCACAGATGGACGCACTGCTGATTGAACTCTACCACTGTATAGGTCATGTTTTGACCTGAACACAAGAGTGCATGTAGATTCTTAGGCCAGAAAGGAAGAACTAATTAACCCAAGGGTAGGACTAAAGACCACTGGAATAGCCTGGACATGGAGCATAGAGGGCACTGTAAGGCTGGTGTGTCCATAATGAGGTAAGCGGTGGACACCGCTTCTCGAGTTTCTTTCTCTGAACCAAGAAAGGAAACTCAGCCTACCGTTAACTTCAGTCTTTTGCACAGTGCTTGAACCCCAAAGTTTTTGCTGAAGGTTATGGATAGTCTTCCTCTGTAAAAGAGGAAATGTCTGAGCATTGTGCTGAAGAGGATGTTGCCAAAGATGCGACGGGGTGAGATGCTGGTCTCAAGGGGGTGGTCTTTGCCTGCCATTTCCTTTGGGGACGATCACCTGAGTGGTGAAATGCCTGGAAGCCTTATTCTGGGAGGTTTCATAGCTTGTATGGTTATACATGGTATATGTGTGTGTGTTTTAATTAGAGGAAATACTTTTTCCCCCTAAGTATATTGAGAGTTTTAGACAGGCTCCTGAGATAACCGGGTATAGAAATCACAGAGAACTCACTGCTGTGGAGTCTGTTTCACTCTCTGGGATCTGCTGCTGTGGGAAGTCGCTGGTTGCATTCTGCAAGCCTCACCCTGTATTGATCAAGGTAATGAGGTTCTGTCATGTTAAATCCAGGCTAGTCCCAGAAAGCCCATTTGGTAGATGTTCTCCTTAGCTGCTCTTAAGTTGTGTGATTAAAACAGTGATTCTTGAAGTCAGAAACATGACATCTTGCCTTTGATTTAGAAGTTTGAAGAACATTATTTATGTGTAGGAGAAGCCCAGTTTAAAATCCTCATTTGTCTTTGTAGCATTATTGGGTATCCAGCAGATGTCACTATTACAGTCTGTGTTCAGTTTTTTGGGCTTTACTGAGTAATGTTTTCGGGAAGGCTCCATTTGGAGACAGTGCTTTATCAATGGCCTAATGACAGTTCTTATTTGTTTGCTGCTGTGTCTAATACTAAATCAAGTTGCCTGCCTGAGTATTTTTTTGTAGAAGTGCTTTTCACTCTAAACATAGGATGCAGACATTTTCTGGCTATATATTTTATTTTTCACTTATAGGATATGCAACTGTTTGAATACATAAATGTACTATCTTTTTTTTACCGTTAATACTACCTATATATTCCACTTTCAATATAGAAAAAGTACTTTGATCGTTTGAACCATTTTTACCCACATGACTTTTGATTTTGCCAATTTTGTGAAGTTTTTTCCCCCACATTAACCCAGTTCTTCTACAATTCAATTCAGTTCTGACACTGTCTGTCTGGAATTAGTGTCAGATTGTACAAGTTAGGGGCTTAGTCCCACAAGACTGCCCCCACCTCAGACACCAATTGCCAGTCCCAGGATTCTCCTATTTCTGATGCACCAGCTATAAATTAGGGCTTCCCAATACCGCTTCCTCAGGTTCAGTAATTTGCTAGAAGGTCTCAGAACTCAGGAAAACAGTATACTTACTATTACTGGTTTATTATAAAGGATTCAGCTCAGGAACAGACAAATGGAAGAGATTCATAGGGTCAGGTATTGGGAGAGAGGGCATCACCTCCTCTCACCACCTTCATGTGTTCAGCAACAGAAGTGCTCTGAACCTTGTCAATTAGGAGTTCTAATAGAGGCTCTATTTCGTATGCATGGCTGATTAAGTCATTGCTTATTGCTTATTAACTCAATCTGCAGCCCCTGTCCCCTCCCCTCCTCCATGAGGGAGTCCAAGATTTGGCTAAAAGTTCCAACCCTTTAATAATGTGGTTGGTTCCTCTGGCAACCAGCACCCCTCCCCCATCCTCAGAGAGTCATCTCATTAGCACAAACTCAGGAGTAGTTGAAAGGGGCTTGTTATGAATAACAAAGGATACTCTTGACACCCCTATCATTCAGAAGATTCCAAGGGTCCTAGAAGCTCTTGTGCCAAAAGTTGTTGTGAAGATCAAGTAGATATATTTCTTATCACAACATCACAAATAATTTCCAGTGAGTCTTTCAGTATAGTTCCTGATCTCATTCGTAATGTATACGCCATCATTTAATTTCAAAATGTTCTAGTGAACCATCAACTATTTCATAAAAGCTATATTCAAAAGAGGTTAAGGAAGTATCTCCTCTCTTTTTTTGAAGAAAGAACCATACCTGAATTTGGGAGCTGATATTAGTTAGGGTGAAATTCTAAAAATGACTTAAAGAACAAAAAAGATCAGTTCTCTCTAATGCAAGCATCCCAAGGTAAGAGGTTCAGGTTGCCAGACATCTCTGTTCCATCCAGTCATTGGTCTCAGGTATCCTAATCAATGGCACGGTTGAGGCTGGGTTTCTGGAGTTCCGGCAGCAATAGTGGGAAAGAAAGCATGGAGGAGGCAGGCTCCCTTCCATAAGGCCAGGCCTGGAAGTGATCCACATCATTGTGTGTGTTCCTTCATTAAGAGTTTAGTTACACGGCCACCCCTAACTGCAAGTGAGGTTTAGAAATTTGTTTGTGTGCCCAGGAAAGATGTGAGGATGGGCATTGGTGGACAACTAGCAGGTTCCACCCCAGTGCTAGTAGTTCATTGGTTTGAATGGCAATGACCAAACATGGCTATCAATGTCCTTTTCAGGAAGTGCACTCAGTGTACAGAATTTTGGCTGGGATTTTGAATATTGGAAACATTGAGTTTGCAGCTATTTCTTCTCAACATCAGACTGATAAAAGTGAGGTGCCCAATGCTGAAGCCTTGGAAAATGGTAATTATTTGATGCTTTGCACTGTGAGTTGCCAAAGTACATGTTTCTTTCGCTTTGGTAGTTTTTCAGGACTCTAAAATACAGTGTGCTATTGCTAGTCCTATTGGCTCTGGGGTTTTTCACTAACCAGTATTTCCTAGAGGCTATTTTATAGAACGTCAGGGGTTTTTTTCCACAAACTACAAATAGATGTTCTTCAGAAAAGAATTCTGTAGTGGGTAACTTTGGGCAGTGATTCTCAACAGTGGCTGCTTTGGAAAATCATACACAAATTTTTCAAAAAAATGCAGGAGGTCAGACCTCACTCTAAATTCACTGAATCAGCATCTGCAGGGGATAAAGCAGCCACCTATTTATTTTTAAAGTTCCACAGGTGATAATGGTGGCCCAAGGAATAAGAATTCTGAGTTAGAAAAAAACCAGATTTAAATAGATACCTTTTGTATTAAACCGTAGCACTTTTTCGTGGCCTTTAGTATACTAATGTGCTTTGTGACTCTCTAAGAGCAAATGGTAGTCTCCAGCAGTTGCTCCAACTAATTTGACCACGACTACCTCCTTCCACATTTTTCCATCTAACACCTGTGAAAGGCTCTTACAAGTTTGGGAGGTACTGCTTCAGTCTAGGTGCTTTGGGGATTAAGGACGGGGCTTGTTTATCCCAGAACCTGAAGTGCTGGGGATAGAGCCTGACACGTAGCAGATGTAGAATAAATGCTGGCTGGCTGGATGAATGGATGGATGGATAGATGACTACATCTTCTCGTGTCATCTTTACCCTCTGTTCTAGCTGCCTCCGTTCTCTGCATCAGCCCTGAAGAGCTCCAAGAGGCCCTCACTTCACACTGTGTGGTCACCCGGGGTGAGACCATCGTCCGCGCCAACACTGTTGACAGGGCCGCAGACGTCCGAGATGCCATGTCCAAAGCCTTGTATGGGAGGCTCTTCAGCTGGATCGTAAATCGCATCAATACACTCTTGCAGCCAGACAAAAACATATGGCAAGTTCTCCCGGGGAGCAGAGGCCTTAAGGAGGGCTGTCACCGGCCCAGGTCTATCATAGAGTTTGCAAAAGGAAGCATTTGGTCCTCTCTTGAGTTTCTTTTAGTGAAGCTCTCAGGCTATCTCCTTTAAGAGACACAGTGGGATCCAGGAGAGCCATAGCATTTATACCTGAAAGGCACATGATTGACGGAGCCATTATATGTTGAAGAGAACAGGCTTGGCTGGGAGCTGGGCAAACTGGGTGTGCGTCCAAGCTCCACAGCTTAATCAGTGCTTGTTCTAAGTTACAGTTTCCTCATCTGTAAAGTGAGGATAATGCCCTCCTCATGGTGGTGTTTTTAGAGTCAACTGAGACAGTTCATGAAAAGTGTTAAAGAATAGTATCTCACGTCATTACTACCACTTTTTCTTTGATAAGTAAGCATCAGTGTTTCTGGAGTGTGGAAGAATTAGCTACATCAAATTCTAAAAAGTCTTCTACCAGCTAAGCTTTGTGGGTGGGCAAGTGGAAGAATGAACGAGCAGCAGCCCCAGCCCCTTCAAACAGAGTGGTTCCTCTTTAATCTCTCTATAGGTGGAGCTTCTGAGGAAGATGTGAAAGGATTCTACTGCCTTAAAAAAAGAATTTGGCAGTACTGTTGAGAGACTCAAGGAGCAAATGGTTTAAGACTCAGTTTCCCCCTCACAGGTGGCAGGATACTGCTTTCCCTGAGTGGCTGCAAGTGTTGATAAAGACGCGGGCACATACCTTCTCACTGTCCTGAGATGGCTGTCTCCTCCCCTAAGAGGTTTTCTTCTCTCTCATGCAGCGCTGCTGACGGTGGTATGAATGTGGGGATCTTGGATATTTTTGGATTCGAGAACTTTCAGAGGAATTCATTCGAGCAGCTCTGCATAAACATTGCCAATGAGCAAATCCAGTACTATTTCAATCAGCACGTTTTTGCTCTCGAGCAGGTAACAGTGAACTCTGAAGTCACGAACTCAATGGGGAAGGCGTCTGCAGGTTGCCCAGAGTTTGAAGCAGAAACCCTGTTAGTCAGGCTAACAGGTCAAAGACTCTTAAAAAAAAAATAACTGGTGAGGCCATCCTGTCAAAATAAATCGGCAGTCTAAATTTAGTCTGAAAAAAAGAGGTCTCCATTTCTATGGAAAGGTACATTTCCTCACTTGAATGAAGCTGGTGACAAGCCAATTATTTAAATGTTGTTTCCAAACTGTTTCATGTGCATTGCCCAAAATGCTACATTCTCTTCTACTTTATTTAACTAAAAATATCTATGATCATGCCTGAAATAACACAGGATGATCTTGAATTCGAGATACAGGTGCTTGTTGTTCTTAACTCCAAAACTGGCCACCCTGTCCCCTGTCTCCTGCACACCAGGTCCCACAGGAAGTGGATGGATATTTTCAGGGAGGAGTAAGATCTGTTCTTGGTTTTTTCAAAAAGAAAGTCTTTCACCGTAAGTTTAATGATAAATAAAACCAGGTGTGAAGCTAGTGGACCCAAAGTCTAGGGGCCCTTCTCCTCCACCCCAATCCATACCCCAAACCCAAGGCTCTCCATTATGAAGTAGTTGCAATAACTGAACATTCTGACCAAGCCCCTTGTTTTAATGCAGGAGTGAGGACACACAAACTGGACTGTGATGAAATAAACACAAAGACGTGGACTGAAAATACCAGTATTGGTTTTATCACTGGAACTGGATAAATCCATATTACACTCCTCTCCCTGCCCACCTTGTACAAAACTAGACCTACAAAACTAGACCTTGTTTCAGTCCAGGTCACTTCCATTTATTTTCTCAGGAAATCTGGAGGTTTTCTAGTTTTTTAGTCTGAGAGGATTCCTTTGCAGGAGATAGAAGTTTGCTTTCTTCCTGGTTTCAACTATACTTGTCACCAAAATAAAATTTTTCCAGCTTCCTTTTCTTTCTACACCAGTTTCTAAATTATGAGTTAGCAAGTCAGTGTTTGGGAGAGAGAGAGCCATCTCTTCTGTTGCCAGCTTTAGCTGCCTGCCCCAGGCCACCCTTAGGTCAGACTGAAACCCAAAGCTCCAACAGTGTTCTATGCAGAAGAGTCCTTTACTATTCACATAAAGTCCTTTACTACTCACCCTGTTCAGAGTTGCCAGACACAGAAAGTGCATGCAGGCTGGTGGTCCCTAGGCCAGTTTTGGGCTGGAGAGAGTCACAATCCATTTCCTTCCAGATGGAATATCAGAATGAGGGTATTGACGCCACACCCGTGGAGTATGAGGACAATCGCCCACTCTTGGATATGTTCCTCCAGAAACCCCTGGGACTGCTTGCACTGTTGGATGAGGAGAGTCGGTTTCCCCAAGCAACTGACCAGACCCTGGTTGGTAGGTACTTTTTGGAAAAGGCTTATACGTGCAGAAGAGAACTTGGCTACTTGGCTCATGTCATCAAATGAGTGTGGTTTAAGGAATCTTTCCTGTGTACTTAGGCCACCCAGTGATTGTGAAAATACAGACCCTGCTTTTAATGAATGAAAATGTTCAGCAAATGTCCTGGTAGAATTTTGTGTCATCAAGCAAACTCGTCACCATCTGTCAAACCCTCTCACTTTCCTATTTCTGCAAATGGAAATACCTTTGCCCTGTGTCAATGTCATTTTACACCTTCTGCTCCCTTATTTCTTATAACCAGTACAGAATTTTACCCCCCTCCACACCTTTTTCATGCCCTTCTCTCATGTCTCTACCTGGACCCCCATCCATCTCTAGTCCAACTTTGTATAAAAGCCCCTTCTAGTCTCCTGGCTTCCAGGTCATATTATACCCCTCCTCCCAGCTCATTATTCTTCCTAAAGCCACCTTTTCATTTGGGTTACCATTATCTATGGAGTGATGATAAAACACCTCCTCCCGGTATTAAACGCCCTCTCTACTCTACCTGTGCTCCTCTTGACCTTCACCTCCTCCTCCTTGAATCTTCAATGTTGGACATGATCCTATCTCTCACTTATATTATGAGATCCTTGAGCCACAAGACCGCAGTCTTCGCATGCCTTTACTACTGAGCGCAGTGGACGCTCTATCACAACAACAGCGGAATTGTTTATTGAGGGAGGAATGGGAAGTTTCAAGCCTTTTCCCAGGATGGAAAATTGATTTGTGGGAGAGATTCACTTCTAGGAGTTGAGGTTGTCACCCTCAGTGGCTTTCTTTTTATCTATAAAATTGTCACAAGTTGCCAAGAGGAGTATAAACCAGGGTTACTTGCCTTCTGTGGGATATCTTCGTAGTTCTAAAGCTCATTGGCTGGGCTTCTGGTGTAATCAGTGCCCATGCTGGGACTTCTCAGAGCAGAACGTGAGATCTTAGGGAGCAGCCTGACACTAAAGACAACATGAAACAACGAAGAGAGGACTTGATTGTAAATGCCCATGTTACTGGGGTTTGGGGGGGCTCTTTCTCCATTATTGTTCATCCAAGAATAGTATCAGGCTACTCTGAAATTCCTTATTCTGGGTCATTGTGGTTCGAGGAGCACATTTTTGTCTGAAGGAGCAAACAATTCCTGTTGTAACTTTTAAACATGAAAATCCACGCAGATAAATTTGAAGACAACCTCCGGTGCAGATACTTCTGGAGGCCCAAAGGGATGGAGCTGTGCTTTGGCATTCAGCACTATGCTGGGAAGGTGAGGCGAGTCAGTTATTAAACCTGAATTTGACAAGGGGTGAGTGTCCGTGTTACGCTGTTTGTGCCTCTCCTGGAGTTGCTTGCCAGTTTCTTTCTCCTCTTAATTCTTCTTGAGAACCTAATCATAATTCCCAAGCTTTCTCAGTGGTGTTGCTCACAGAAAGCCGCCCCTGGAAAAGAAGCAGTTTCTCGTAGGGGTGGCCCACAGAGCTGCCATCTGCTTCTCACCTGAGGTTTGGCCTCAAAGTGACAGCTCTCCAGAGAGAAACGTATCACAGCTTTTGGAGTGCTTAGTGGTGAACGTTCACATTTAGAAGTTATTTGGAGATGTGTGAGTAACAGAGGAGGGTTAGTATCCCAGTCGGGCTCAATTTTTAGTATTTTAAGTGTGTGTCTACAGGGCCCCAAAAATGTCTAGATGAAAATTCACTTTATCATACAGATGTTAAGCTTTTACAATATGAACTAAAATCTCCACTTTTCATACATTATGGCTCAATCTCAATTTCATGTTCCTGAAGCAGATTAGTGAGTGATTCAGGAAATTCTCTCCTCCCATAGCCAACAATTCATTGCTCAAGGTACTCTCGAAGGAGTCATTTGAATGATGGCCAGTTGATTCTGGCGGGGTCTGCTGAGGCCCCAGGCCCAGAATGTGGTAGGACTTCAACAAAAGGCATTTTGGATTATTTTGTTGACTTGAGACCTATTGAAATGATTCTTTACATTCATATCACGCCATTGAAATTAATTTTGCCTGACTGGACATTGGTTGAAAGGCAGTCTAATACAAGTGAAGGGGTTGTTTTTCTCCTCACATGGTATGAGATGATATGTGTTTTGGATCTTGCTTAGAAATTGCAATCCAGTTTTTGCTCTTAAAAGTTTTATTTCCCTTAGCCTTGAAGCCTGACTGCACATCCCACCCACCCTGGCCCCCACATCCCTGTTCTCTTCTGCCTCCTGCTCCCGTCCTCCTCCTCGCACCTCTCTTTCCATCTGTCCGTCCTTTTATACCTGTTCCATACCCACCATCCTCTTCCCTCTTTCTTCTTCTCTTTTCTTGATTTTAAGGGGAAAAGGATTCTTTTCCTTTGGGGCTCTGTGTCCTTTCCTGAATTCCTTTGCCACTCAACACTTATTTCCCTGGAGCATTCCTTAAAATTTGTCTGACCTGGATCCCCTCCGTCCCGAGAACTGAGAACTGCTCAGAATCCCTGAGCCATCACTCAGGTGCTACTACTGCCTTGGGAAGCAGTGAGAGGACAGTAGGTATGAGCGTGGAGCTACACTGCCTGGGTTGGGGTTGCCTGCCCATCACGGGTGAAATGTGTGATCATGGGCACAGTATTCAGCGCCTCTCTCGGCCTCTGTTTGCCCACCAATAAAATGGAGACAGTAACAGTGTTTTCCTCATAGGATGGATGCTTCATATTGTGAGTGCCCAATATAATTATTTTGATCTGATATTTCAATATGACTCTCTTCTTCGAAGAACAGTTGAATGAGAAGTTAAGATAAACTGGCCTCTAAAATATTACAATTTTCTTCCCTTATCTGGTGGTCTGAATTTAAAAGCATGCTGTGTCAAGATGAATTTTATACAGAGGTAGATTAACGAGCGACCTCAGACAGCGTGCCAGTGTCACCAGTGATGGACAGTATTGACTAACTTGCGATTTGCTATTCACGTTGCAGGTATTATATGATGCTTCTGGGGTTCTTGAGAAAAACAGAGACACTCTCCCTGCTGATGTGGTTGTCATACTGAGAACATCAGAAAACCAGCTTCTTCAGCAACTCTTTTCAATCCCTTTAACCAAAACAGGTACTTGGCACCCCTCTGAGAGCCCTGGGCCTAATGTTTCTGCAAGTCCTCTGGAGTTTTCCTGTAGTATCTAAACACTACAGAGGCTGCACTGCTCACATTTTGAACTTTGAGCAGGAGTAAAGGGCTGTTCAACTAAGTTCAAGAAAAGGAAAAATGACTATTTTTTTTTGCATCTAATTGCACAGCATCAATATATAAATGCATGTGTACACAGACACACTCACACACTTTCCGTAACATCAGCTCTTAGACTTCTCATTTTCTCTGCCTGCTTTTTATTCTTCCATTTATAAAACCGTATGTTATCATCAATTCATGCTAACACTCTAGAGTGGTCTTGATTTACTTAGAATTACTGGGAAGATTATTTCTATTTATGTATGGTTTCAAGTAAAGGGACTGGGGCCAAAATCATCCAATCAAGGGGTCCTCAGGAGTCAACTGTTCTAACTTCCCACCTAGCTTCACCCCACCACTCTCCTAAACCAACCTGAAACAGGTCTGTCGGTGGCCTACATACATAGCCTTTGCCTACCTACAGTCCGCTTCTGTTTAGTTGCTCAGTTAGTCCTCATACCAGGAGCAGGAAACTAGGGCCGATAAATGGAACATCCTGGTCTTTGCTGTTTCACCAAATGGATTCTAATTGGGTCAAGCTCCTTTGGTTTATCTGAGATTCTGCTGCCTTTGACTGGGCAGCAGACCGCATCTTCCCATAGCTCTCCTCTCCAGGGCTTTCTGTTTTTCAGGTTGTGTCTGGAAACAGCTGCAGATATGCTTTTAAGAAAGGAGTCAAAGAAACCTCTTTATCATTGTGCATAATTTCTTCTTTTCTTTCCATGTCCCTTGTGAAAACATTGACAGCATGTCTAGCATGGGGCCTTCGCATGCTAAAAGAGAGTGGTTGCCAGGTCTGAATTTTAGCCACATGCAAAGGAATGAAAAGCTTGGTTAAGAAAAAAGTCACAGTCTACAACCTTTGCTTCATCTTTACTTTGAAGCCAGGTTCTCAGCTTTTCTAAAACGTGTTCGTTTAAGCAAAGATAGTAGAGTGCCCATCAGAAGGCTGCCCTGCAGCTTCCTTTCCATACCTCCCTTGGGCATAGCCAGGATTTGATTCATTATCAACTTCTGGGAGTGTGGGCAGGTGTGGCAGGACTGGTGCTCCCTCATCAGACACTCAGGCATATGGACTCACTAGGTGAATCTCTACAGAGGCAAAGACATAACCATTATTAATAGGATACTTCTCTTTGAAATAAAATCTATCCAATAGCTTCTTAGCTAGCATTTATACTCTCCCATAAATATGAGTGACGACTTGTCAGATCTGTTCACAACTTTCGAATTTCTGATTTTTCAACCTTTGGCAAAATGAAAACAAGTTTGCAGCCTGGGCCACTAGGTGGCGCTATGCAAGAAGTCAGGCTCTGCAGCCAGCCTCCTGTTGCCCTTGATCACCTAAAAGCCAGGAGGAACAGGAACAAAGAGATAGACTCTGCTCCTTATTTTTCGTTTTCTGCAAAAGAATTTTCCTCCTGCCTTGTAACGCTTTCTGAATCTTGCCTTGAAACTGTACTCCACACCACCTGGAAGAAACAAAAATGAAAAATAAGACTAGAACAAATGTGTTTTCCTGACAATCTCCCTGGTATTCCTGATTTGTATATTATGCAGAAAAATTTCTTTTGAAATCCTTAGCTTCCTTTTCTTCACATTTTGAGTTTAATTAAGAAGCCACGAGTCTACATCAAAACTAATAAGCTTGATTCTGTTTTCTTTTTCTGAACTTACTCATGTGAAAATGCCTTCGATCAACAGACATTTATAGAACAGCTGCTAATAATAAGGCACTGTATAGGCAGCAAAGGGCAATATAGAGGTAAAAATAGTATGGCTTTGCCTAAAAGCAACTGGAACTTTCTTTTACCTTCCTGTTCTATCTGGAATTGAACACTAATTTATCTCCTTATGATGCTATTTGCCCTCAAACCTCAGTTCTAAAGAGATTGTGCATCCTGGGTTGAAGGTCAGAATATTAATTAAACTCCTAAAATTTAAAACCTCCCTACTCTATATTTTTTGGTTTTATTATATTACAGCCTTTGAAAGTGGAAACACCTTCCCGGACAGAAATAGGTTGTATTGTTTTGGTGAAAATGCAAAGACTTGTATATTCCTTATGAAGGGAGACATGGCTTTCCAGCTCAGCATTCTGCATGGAAGCAAGGTCCTACACATCCTGGCATTTTGGAAAAGAATATGCTAATATTTTCAGTGCATGAGAAACCATTTTCTTGGTTGTTTTAATTTTTATTTATCTTGTCTCAAACCCTTAAGTTCTTAAATGGGGCACTAGTTCAGTGAGCACAGATATCAGGGATGGTTATTTTACAAACTTTTTTTAGGGGATGAACTGCAGAAAAGAAGGAAAAAGATCAAAGTTGGGAAACTTTGGAGGCTGTTAACCCCAAACTTAAAAAAGAGGTCTAACAAAAGACCTAAATAGACATTTCTCCAGTGAAGACATCCAGATGGCCAAAAGGCACATGAAAACATGCTCAACATCACTAATTATCAGAGAAATGCAAATCAAAACTACAATGAGGTACCCCATCATACCATCAGAATGACCATCATTCAGAAGTCCACAAATGATAAATGCTGGAGGGAGTGTGGAAAAATGGGAACCCTCCTATACTATTGGTGGGAAAGTAGTTTGGTGCAGCCATTATGGAAAACAGTATGGAGATTCTTCAAAAAAGCAGAAGTAAACTTACCATATGATTGATCCAGCAATCCTACTTCTGGGTATATATCTGGAGGGAACTCTAATTTGAAAAGGTACATACACCCCAGTGTTCATAGCAGCACTGTTTACAATAACCAAGACATAGAAGCAACCTAAATATCCATTGACAAATGAATAAATAAAAAATATAATACAACAGAATACTACTCAGCCATAAAAAGAATGAAATAATGCCATTTGCAGCAAGATGGGTGGACCTAGAGATTATCACACTAAGTACAGTAAGCCAGACAGAGAAAGACAAATATTGCATGGTATCACTTATATGTGAAATCTAAGAAATGACACAAATGAACTTATTTACAAAACAGAAACAGACTGATAGACATAGAAAACAAACTTAATGATACCAAAGGGGAATTAGGGAGAGGAATAAATTGAGAATTTGAGATTAGCAGATAGAAATCTACTAGAGTAGACAAACAAGTTTCTACTATATAGCACAGGGAACTATATTCAATATCTTGTAATAACCTGTAATGAAAAAGAATATGAAATATATATATATGTATAACTGAAGAATCACTATGCTGTACACCAGAAACTAACACAACATTGTAAATCAACTGTACTTCAATGAAAAAAAAAGAAGAGGTCCAGTGTTCGGCTTCTCAGTTTCAAGAGGGAAGACCTCTGTGGGATGTTGGTAATGCTCTGGCTGCTGGTCTTGGTGGTAGTTATATGGATATTTACTTTATAGTATTCATTATGCTGTATGTTTATATTTTGTACACTGTAAGTGCAGTCTATTTCACAATAATATTTTCCCCCCAAAAGAAAGAGAAGCTATCTTAAAATGCAAAGAAAAACTCTAATTTTTTTGTCTAAGTTTTCCTGTCCAGTGAAGTTGAAGTGTCCTGGCAGCCAGACTGCTGCTGTCCTTTGCTTTCAGACACAGGCATCAGAGAGCCTCCGGCTGACATTCCTTGAAACAGCCAGCCTCCTCTTTGGACCCCTGGACAGATGATAGTCCCTTCATTAGTGGATATCAAACAGAAGTATTGGTCCTTGGTTTAATCTCTTATCAGAGTTGAGAGGATTAACCTCTGGGTGTGTTTGTATAAAACCAGAGAGAGTAATCCAATTGGCATTTTCTTATTTCCTGTACCCACCTTCTTGTTCACTTTGGATACCCCCAAACACTGAAAAAGTTATAAAACATGGAGCATGAGCTCACGAGGCCCAGGGTTGTCAGCTTCTCCCAGGTTCCTGCAGCTCCCTTGCCAGCAGCTGTTTCTGCTGACAGGCAGCTGCCCCTGGCAGTGGAGATGCCTCTGCCTGAAAGGCACGCTCTCCTTCCTAGATGCTGAGTGACCATCCAGTAAACGAGGCAGCTGAGGCAGTGTGGATTCTCTCCATTTCCCTCTTTGCTTTTGCCACCACTCTTTGGTCCACAGATGGGCCACTTCAGACGTGATGAAATTTTCTTTGTAATTCTTCCTGTTGATAAGAAATTCCCTGAAGACTTTATATGTAAAAATTTGAAGTGGCAGCAACACTGCTTTCTAACCCTTCAGCTGGGACTTTTCAAACTGAACGATCGAGGTAGAAAAACATTAAAAGGAAGGATGTTATAACAAGGTTCTGTGGCATATTCTTCTGTTTGGGGAATGCTCCTCTTGCTATGAGTAAACTAGAGAAAAGTTCAAAAGGCTCAGGGGAGAAAAGAAAGGAGGGGGTTTCAAAAGGAACTTGAAAAAAATCCATTTCTGTCTTTGAATCATGAATTCTGACTTCCAAATAGTAGTTTGGGGTTTTAAAGGAGTTAGGAACTTGGGAGAAACTAGGAAAAACAAGAGTAGTGCAGAGGGAATATTCTTTGAGCCCAAAGTCTGGTTTTGCTTCAGAATCTGGAACTGAGTTTTCTCTCCATTGCCTTCTTCTGTCCAAGGACATTCAGGTTTCACCCTTGGAATTTGATTTGCAGTAAAAGTCAGTAGTAAAGTCTCTACCTTGACTTCCATTTGCTACCCTTTTTATTTGGATGGGGAGGGAGGAGGATGAGCTTCTTTTCTTCTTACTTTTAATTTTATTTTAATAGGAGACTAGAGAAAATTTAACATAGTAAGGCACTCTAAGCCAGGTCTACAGCACTGGAAAGGAGAGGGAGGTGGAAAAGGGATGAGTAAGTGAATAAGATGGGAAGCAAAGGACTCAGGGCAGAGAGAGGGAAGCAGGTTGGAAA